AAAAAAAAAAAAAAAAAAAAAAAAAAAAAGCAATCTTGGTGGAAAATAATAATCTCTGTTTTCTCCGAAACTGAAATATAATAAAAAGAGAGTCTGTGTCAAAACTCTGTAACCCACTTGAACATGTTTTTCATCAAACTCCTTAAACATGCATTGCATGCCCAAATTAGTTATATTAAATGCTTATTTACCCTGATGGCGATGGCTTCTGCTGCTCAACCAACCGGAAAAAAATGCAAAAGGCGTAAGTTGGAGGAGACTGCATCAAATACAAGAGGGCTGGTTATGATTGGTTTAATCTCCACATTCTTGAGGTCGGAGTTGGAAAGATAAGTACAGGTGCATAAATCCAGCATGATGTAAGTGTGCTTGGTACGATTATGCTGCGCTGTCTGTACAACAGCCAGATTGCATCTACCATCTTCAATCTGGCCAACAGGGGCGATCAGAGGAACAGGGAAGCGCTCATAAAGACTCGGTGATCGCAACTATCATACGCACGTTTTGCATCCAGGCATATTGCACCCCCTATCACAAAGACTCGGTGATCGCAACTCCAACCAGGTATAGGAAGAGACTTATGAGGACCATGGTCCAGTTTCCAGCCGACTTGGGAGAGAGAATCCAATTCCAATTCCAGATTGATAACAAAAAAGCCTCGGGTAGTCTGGATGGCAAAAGTGGAGTTACCAAAAAAAGTATAATCGACGAGGTAAAACTCGCCATCTGAGTCGTGAGGCAAGTCGGGGAGTTTTCGTGAGGTTTGCGTGTGAGGGTCGTATATCTCAAAGTCGTGCAGATCAAGAGGGTAATACGAGTTGAGACGTCGTGAGAACACCAAGATCCTTTTGCCATCAGGGGTTGGAGTAGCTATGGGTCTACATTTCGTGTGAAGCAAAGAGCCGGCACTCAGTAAATCAGATTGTGTGACATACCCCAATTCATCAGTGGTTGGGTAGTGGTGTAAATCAGCGGCAAATACCAACTTGTCCCAACTCAGAAATATGTAAACCATGGAATTCAAAACACAGAAAGCAGGCCAACTAAAATCACTCATCCTGAATCGAAGGGCAGGTGGAAGCTGCCCGGATTCACCATTAGGATCTATAATATGCATTAAGTAGTCACGATCTTCACCGTCAGGGAAACAATAGGAAAAGAGGCATAGTTTAGGCCAAAGGGGTACCTCGACTGCAACTGCAACTGCAACTGCGCGCTGTTTTTCGCCTTCCTTCTTCTTGTTCCAAGCCCTATCCTTGCGCT